AAATGTGGAAGTGTGTTGGGATCCTTACTTGTTGAACTTCAAAAACATGCCGGTGATCCTGTGGGAAAGTATGTTGGGATCCATACTAGTCAAACTTCATAAACGAACAACGATTGGCACGCCAAAGGGAACCCTGTGCGGAAGTGTGCCGTGATCCTAACTTGTCAAACTTCAATTTCATAAATGTGACGAAAGATACAGTAACTATATTGTGACACAGTCCTCTTTTTTACGAATTTATTTTTGACTGCAGTGTTTGTATATGGGCATGCCCGCCCTGTCGCCCCAAATGCGAAAGTTTGCTGACATCCATAGTTGTTGAACTTTTGTACACAAAATCAGCAATGTAATTAGATATAATTAGATTAAATTGTGCTCCATCACGATGAATATCCGCATTTTAAATGGTCATGCAAAGAAGGTTTGGGCATCCACTGATCAATTTCACATAAGATGAGATTCCTCATTCATCCACCAACCAGTTTCACAATCATGTTTACACTTCGAGTTGAACAGAATTCGAAACATGGAACACAATACTTCAACTTGAACAGAATTCGGAACATGGAACATTACGTGATATAGATTACAAAGCCCATACATGACGCAGGACATGCATGAGCTTGTCGTAGATAACGCGAACTCGGAACGATAAAAGAAAGCAATGCCTCTGGCAGAAGGAGAATTGAATAATGTCTCGATTTACGAAATTTAACGATCAACGAATGAAACACCTTAAAAAAAAGTTTCGAAGTCAATCAAATCCATCAAAGACAACGATTWTCTAAGACACATGATGCTAATTGTCGTCTAAGAAGCGGAATATTTTTACAAGAGAACCGGAAAGGCGGTCGATCTCCATGTTGCAACAACGTCGCATACATCAACATGAACACACCATAGCTTGCTCCATCCACTTGTCTCGGAACTCCATCCACCACAACATTTCCCACCATGGACTTCCAATTCCTACCCGACCGCCTATGTGATGTTTGACGTTCCAAATAGTGCACAATCAACCCGAAAACACTAAGGTAAAAACTAGAATCAGCTACAATGCGAGGAAAACAATCAAAATTTTTGAGATCATCATCTCTCATGTTGACGGAAACGAGGATCCAGTGATCATCATCAGCGTTGTCGAGCGGGGATCCCCGAGGGCAAAGCCGGTGTTAGGCTGCGGACCCCGGACCCCCGCCGCGGGGGTCATCCAACCCCGCCACCGCCGGACGACCCCCACCGCCGCCCAGCCCCGGGTACCCCGCCGCCTAACCCCGCAGGCCCGCCACCGGCCCCGCAACCCCGCCCCCGCATCGCCCCCGCACCGCACTCCCGCCACCGCGACCCC